ATGAATTATTTGGTCTTCTTTTCTAAATCTAGCAACCTCCAAGCTATTCCGGTCACCTTCTTCTTCCTCTTCTCTTTCTCTCTCTCTTTCTCTCTTTAGATCTATGCCTCTTTTGCAACTCACGTATATGTAAAAACCCTCTTCTTCTAACTACTACATCTATATATACTAACACCCAAATCCTAACCTAAGACTAACTAGCAATAAAAATAATAATAATAATACAAATAATATATATATATATATATATATATATATATGCATTAATGGGTCATAATCTTTACCCATCTAAGCTTTATATCCAAGTAGTCCATGAAACCCATTTGGTTGATCCATTACTACTATCTAAATCCATCATTTTAAATAAAATATAATAAAATAAAATAAAACATTTAAACCTAATAATTAATTACAAATAATTACACATAATTTAAACAAGTACACATAACTAAAATTACATAATTCACATTAAACAATTTAAATCAATTAAGCATATAAACACATATCCATATGATCAAATAATATGCAAATAAAATAAATAATTAAATCTAAATAATCCTTTGAAAAATGAGGGGTATTACAACTTAGGTCCTCACCAGTAAGAATATACACTACTAATGTGGACAAATTATAAATATATACGTTCTCTTTAGTTACCAAATCAGAGATGGTGGGATACATATTCACTTATCAAATCAAAGATAACGGGTGCATACACCATCTCTGATATGGTAAGTGCAAGATGATGTGTTCATTTGTTATCGGTCTATATCGGCGGTGAGGACGTTATACATCCTCACCTAAGTATTGTCCTTTATGTTTTAACTTCCAATTTTTTTTTAGGCAAAAGTACAATGACACATTTTGAGGTTTGGGGTAAGGACAGTCATACACAAGTTGTCATATTTTTGGACAATGACAGCCCTTTGTCAAAAATTGGATCGAAACAACCCCTTAAAAATTGTAAAAAGTCAAGATTGCCTTTTAGCCTTAAATTTTAAAATATTAAAACTCTTAAATAATGTTTTTACTCTTATACACTCATTACATTTACACCTCTATAGAAATATATATATATATATATATATTGTAAACCACTACCATACACCTAGGCCCCAAACTCTTGCCATGACATCCGCCTCCACACCTCCTAACCACCAATATCGCCATCGCCTAACTTAGATCACCCACTACCACCTCCACCTTCCTATTGCGCCTAAAACAAGCCACCACCTCCTCCGCCTTCCTATTAAGCCCAAAACGAATAGGAGGCAAATCGGATTACACCACTGTCACGGCGGCAATCGGAGTCAGAGGAGTACAACTACTCCGATTCTCTCGATAACCTACCACCACAAGCCCATTCTGGTGGTCGTTAACGGCAATCGCTACGGGGCTCTATTTCGGTCAATCCGTGCGGGTGAATTTAATCGGCCTTTATTTTTTCGGGGCTTTGTTGCAGCTCCCTCATCGTCGTGAAGAAACCGCTGTCGTCTTGAAGCCACAGTCGTCGTCATCATGGGTTAGATCAAGATCAGGCCCAACTTTGATAGCCACTGTGGGTTAGATCAAGATCGGGCTCCATCGACATCGTTACCGAAGACGGAGAAAATGAATCGAGTAGTGAGAACACTCATCGCCGCCCTCGCCAAACAACCATTGTCACTGCTGCCATTAACCCTAACGCATGGTACTTTCATAGGACTTGTGTACTCCGGTGTAGGGTAAGCTCACCGAACCGGGTCTCACTTTGCCGTTGACAGTTTGCTCTGGTCTGTTTTTCACCGTCTTCACTGTAAGTTCTTCACTATGATGATGATAATGGTGGGGTGGTGGTTCTGGGGCTGTGGCGGTTGAGGTGTTATAATGATGCGATGATGGTGGTGGTATATGTTGTGGGGGTAATTGGTGGTGGTGATAGATATGTGTTTGTGTATGCGCGTCTATATATATACACAGAGAGAGAGAAAGATAGAGAGGGGGGGAGGAGAAGCTTTGTTATCGAGCTACTTTTTCCTTATATATATTTTTTATTATCAGGCTTTTCCTTCGATTTTCCTTGTTGTCTATTTGGCTTGTTAGGGTTAGAGTTTGAAAGGGGAAATAAAAGAAGAGAGAGATGACAGAGAAAAAATCGGTTTTCATATGGGTTGTACCCGATAACTCATTTAAACATATTTGATGACTTTGTAAAATGGCGCCAAAACTTGGTGTGCTTCTTCCTAAGGTCGTGTTAACACCAACAAGTTGCAATGAAAGTGTGGCCAAGTTTAAATTTATAAAGTGTCACTACTAACTCTAACTACTCATATAGTTAGGGTGAGTAGGGATCATCCTAAAGGATTGGGGGCTATGTTAATATGGAAATAAGGTCGGATTAGTAGGTCGAGTGATCAAAAGGTGTTTTGATTTGTTAATTAAACTACAACATAAATAAATTCAATACTAAACAACTAAAGTAAATAAAAGGGTAGAGAACAAGAGAGAGAGAGGTCTTGGGATCTAGAGGTCACCACTAAACATCATCATTCTAGACACTTAATGTGTAATGAATGAGGGGAAACATGTGTTGCAATACAAAGAGGTGTGATTGATTGAATCAACAATCATGGATTGACTAATTAAGCATATAATGTCTAGACAACCTAGTGAATAGCACAATATATCAAACTAAACCATTATTCCTTCATTTAAGCTCACAATCAACACACTAACAAGTTAAAGAATTATTTTACTTACATTCATAAGTATGGAACATCAACAACAAGTATGGATTGTCCTCACATGTAAGAAAGTAAAGCAACTACACTACTTCTAAGCTAAGGACATGAAAATTAATATTAATCTAAGGTAGAGGCACAATCCATCAAGAAATGAGTATGAACCATCAAACAAACCACAATAGTATTCTATTTAAGCACTATGTCTTGACAATCTCTAGATTCATAGCATCAATACACACAGACATGCATCAATATCACAAAATGAAATAAACACATGAACATCTACTCTAGCATACATAGACATATGGATAGAATGAAATGGTCAATTGGAAGTATTACTTAACACAAATTATTGTAAGAACAAGATTCATATATAAATCAAATGTCAAGACAAGATTACAACACAAATCCCCTCAAAATACAAAACATCAAGGTCTAGATGGCATGCTTAGGGCTAACTCTAGCCCCAAGAAAATGTTTAGCCATTCAATGATGTAGTCATCCAACCCTCAAGGGCCATCTCCATGGTAGAAATGCTCTTCTCTTTGATGGAAACTCTAGAAGAATGGAAGAACTCCCAAAACAGTATATGTCTCTCTAAGCTCTAGCCTCCTCTCCAAGATATGTGATATATGATTCTAAGTTATGTTAAGATATGAAGATATGATATAAAAATAGCTCAAAATCCTTATATAGGTAGCTTAAATGTCACACCCAATGGTCAGGCCTCGTGCAGGCCAGATCGATCAATCCAAGGTGGCGCCTTTTTGAAATAAGACAAATCTGAGATATTTCTGGGATATTTTGGGAAAAAGACAAAAGTGGTAGGTGGGGATAAGATCAAAGAAGTTCGATCGATCTGAAGAAAGTTGGATTAATCGAAAATGGAATTTCTTGATGATAAAGGATAAGGGGTCTGATCCATTCTGGTGAGGTGAGATCGATCTTTGTGAGATCGATCGAAAGTATTCCTGATCGATCGAACATTGCTGATTTCCACCACTTTGCTCCATTCTTCCATTCAGCTTGAGATTGCTTCTTTTATTTTCTAATTTGGTTGAATTGACTTATTTTGGGGATAAGCGCCTGAAAAGGACAATAACATGAAATTAGTCTAAAACGAGAAAGTAAGATAGATAAATGTCCTAGAATACTCAAGCTTAAGGGGTTTAAATGCGTACTTTTCAGCGCTCATCACAAAAACTTGGTGTGCTTCTTCCTAAGGTCGTGTTAACACCAACAAGTTGCAATGAAAGTGTGGCCAAGTTTAAATTTATAAAGTGCTAAGCAGAATCTTCCCAATAGTAATTCCGGATGTTAGCAAATAAACGCTTCTTTGCTTGCTTTGACCAATTGGTCGGAAGCTTGCCAATTGTAAGAAAATTCACGATGTCGGCAAACCAATGCATTTGTCCATTAGAAACTTGGAATAATTGTTTATCTGGAAATGAATCATGAATTGGTGGGCTAAGGGAAGATTTTACCACTAATCTTGAAAGATAATCGGCAACCACATTTTCGGTACCTTTCTTATCTTTGATTTCAAAATCAAATTCTTGAAGAAGCAAAATCCATCTTATCAAACGAGGCTTTGTTTCCTTCTTAGTCAAAAGGTGCCTTAAAGCACCATGATCAGAATAGACAATGACTTTTGAACCTAAGTGATAGGACCAAAATTTATCAAGGGCATATATTACAGCTAGTAATTCCTTCTCGGTAGTGGAGTAATTCAACTGAGCTCTCGAGAGGGTCTTGTTTGCATAATATACGGCGCATGGAAGTTTCCCTATCCTTTGCCCCAAAACTGCTCTCATGGCATAGTCAGAGGCATCACACATGATTTAATTTATATTATACTACTTTGTCAGGGTGTCTTTGTCAATTTTATTAAACTTGAGGGGGTGCTATTGTCTAAAAATATGATGACTTGTGTATAACATTCTTTATCCCAAATCATAGGGTTACCATTGTACATTTTTTTTTACTTTAATGAGCACTCTATTTATTTTTTTGAGTTAAAACAAAAACACCAAAACGAAAACAAAAGGAGTACAAAAGATTATTACATTTTCAATAATTCAGGAAACTGAAAATAAAAAGTTATAAATTTTTTTTTGCTTGGTTTAATTTTTTGACAACTCAAGGTATAAAAGTATTGAAATTACAAACCAAACAGTTCTTTGTAACTTACTAATTTTATTTCACAGTGGACAAATCGAAATATGCACAATACCAGTAGTTTCTCCAAAATCCGTAGCAAGATTCCCATTGGATCTAGTACTAACTTCGTACTATAAACACCTCTCTTTTTGTGTTCTCCCCCCACTTTTCTCTCCTCTCTTACTTACCGGTGACCCCCTTTCCTTCTTCCTCAAGGGGTCGCCCCTCTTTCTCTCTCTATCACTTCCTGTCTAAAAACCACAAAACATCATCTGCAGTACTGCAAAATTCAACACAAAACATCTGCTACTGCAAAATTCAATTCAAACTCAAAAGCCAGAACCAGACATGTCGGAGATAGCAACAACAGATCCGGAGGGGATCGACGGAGTGCGCATGACATGGAACGTTTGGCCTCGCACCAAGGTCGAAGCCAGCAAGTGTGTCATCCCAATCGCCGCATCCATTTCTCCGATCCGTCCCCACCCCGAGATCGCCACCCTCCCCTACGCGCCGCTGCGATGCAAGACCTGCGCCGCCGTGCTCAACCCCTTTTGCCGCGTCGACTTCGCCGCACTCATCTGGATCTGCCCCTTCTGCTTCCAGCGCAACCAGTTCCCCCACCACTACTCCGCCGTCTCCGAAACCAATGTCCCCGCCGAACTCTACCCCCAATACACAACCATCCAATACTCTCTCCCCAGCTCCAACTCTCTCTCGAGCCCCAACAACCCCGACCCCTCTCCTCCTCCGGTGCCGTCTCCGGTGTACCTTTTCGTCCTTGATACGGTCATGATCGAGGAGGAATTGGAGTTTGTAAAATCGGCGATGAAGCAGGCAATTGGGTTATTGCCTGATAATGCTCTGGTTGGGTTTGTCTCGTTTGGGACGCAGGTTCAGGTTCATGAATTGGGGTTTTCGGACATGTCAAAGGTTTATGTGTTTCGGGGCTCGAAGCAAATGTCGAAAGATCAGGTTTTGGAGCAGTTGGGACTCCGCGGTGCAGGGCGGAGAACCGGACCTGGGTTTCCGAAGGGGGGACAAGGTGGGCTTCCAGATTCAGGGATTACGAGGTTTTTGTTGCCGGCTTCGGAATGTGAATATACCCTCGATTCGGTCAGCTGTTCTGACATGATCATTGTCTTTAATTCGATTTTATTAATTAACATTAAACAAATGTATCTTTGGATTATGTAAATTTCCAGCTGTTGGACGAGTTAGGCACGGATCAGTGGCCTGTTACACCCGGTAGTCGGGCATTACGGTGCACGGGAGTAGCATTGAGCATCGCAACTGGTTTGCTTGGAGCTTGTTCGCCTGGAACTGGAGCCCGAATTATAGCTTTAGTGGGTGGTCCATGCACAGAAGGTCCGGGCACGGTAGGATCTTGATTCTTTTCTTTATGTAAACTTTGTTGTAATCTAAGTAATGCACTATCTTGTTATCTAGTTATTGGCCTTAACTTCAGTGGCAGTCTCTGGATCCTTAGTGGATTTTGGTTTTACGTGCAAATAACTTCTACAATTTTTGAGATAACACAAGTTATGGTTGATCAGAGAACTCCATTAAGTGCAAGATAAACAGACCATCTAATTATACTAATATTCTTAATACGCTTGTGAAAAAAAAACACTAAATTAATATTCTGAATATGTCTCCACATTAGGTTTAAAAAAAAGCAAATATGTCTCCACATTAGGTTTAAAGAAAGCAAAAATGATAGTTGTTGCCCAAGTAATGCTATACTTGTTAGTATGTTGATCTCACTAAATGCAATCAAGAAACGGTGGGGGTTTAATTTGGCCATATGGATAATGAAACCACTTTTTAGTTGAACTATTGTATGTATATCTTTAATAGGAACATCCTGATTTCACAAGGATTGGGGCAAACTAAAACCCACACAGAAGTGAATATCTTCTTGGTGACCTGATATCTGGAGGCAAAATTCATAAATATTATTCTATTCCTTTTTCTTTCTCAGGAATGTCAAATGATTGGCCATTACATAGGACATCTTTCTTACTAGGATATACAAGAAGAAAAGTTGGACACTTTCATGTTTATGGTCCCTTTGTCCAACGAATTTAAACTTTGGTGACTCCGATGGTCGAAGACATCCCATAACCAATATTGAATATACATCACAAACTGTGTAGTTAAAGGCGGAGGTGTACTCAAGATGCTTGGGCCCAATAATGCCAATGAGCTGATTCTAAAATAGTCCTTAAAATATTAATTCATACTTAGTTCCTTACTGCATCAAGGCAAGAGCTTAGAGATGTAAGGAGCTATAAAAGAAAATACATATGAAACTCATTGTATACATCACCTTTACATGGGTATGACTCTGCTGGCACCCTTAGTGGTTATCTTAACCTATGAAAAATATGAAGTAGGGTTCCAGGCGAGTGGCGAGTGTGTGGATTCCAGATTATGCAGTGGGGTTTTAGGTATTTTGTGCAAGCTGGACATCAAGAAGGCTTACAATCATGTTAGTTGGAGCTTCCTTCTCTATTTATTGGAGAGGCTAGGATTTGGAGAGAGATGGAGGAAATGGATAAAGTTTTGCATCTATAGTGTTTGCTTCTTGGTTCTTGTGAATGGAACTCCTATGGGTTTCTTTGGTAGTTCGAGGGGTCTTAAGATAGGAGGATCCCCTTTCCCTTTTTTTGTTGCTTATTGTGATGGAGGCTCTTAGCAGATTATTGAGGAGGGCGGTGGATTTGGGGCTTTTGAGAGGGTTTCGGGTGGGTAGTGATGTTGCTAGTCAGTTAGAGATTTCCCATTTGATGTTTGTAGATGACACTTTGATTTTCTGTGTTGCAGATGTGTCATAGATGAAATATTTGAGATGGGTTCTAATTTGGTTTGAAGTCGTCTTGAACATGGGAAAGAGTGTGTTGGTCCCGCTTGGGGAGGTTCTTGAGATTTCCACTTTGGTTGCCATTCTTGGTGTGCTGTTGAGGAGAGTGGGTAGTTGGGATCCCGTGGTGGAGATGTTCGAAAGGAGGTTGGCAAGGTGGAAGAAACAATATCTTTCTAAAGGTAGGAGGATCACATTGTTGAAGAGCAATTTGTCAAGCCTTCCACCTTATTTCTCCTCTCTCTTTCAGATTCCCTCTTCTGTGGCTGAGAGGAATGAGAGATTGCAATGGAATTTCTTCTGGGTTGGGATGGGGGAGGGGTGGGGGAGGAGTTCAAGTATCATTTGGTTCGTTGGGAGAAGGTTTGTTGTCCGACTTGGATGGGAGGTTTGGGTACTAGAAGATTGCCTTTCAATAAGGCACTTTTGGGGAAGTGGTTATGGAGATTTGAGGTGCAGAGGCACAAACTCTAGAGGATGATGATTGTGAGCAGATTTGGGGAGGCGAGAGGATGGTGTTCTTTGGAGGTTAGAATCCTAGCCTCCCAGGTGGAGTTGGGGCTTGGAAATTCATTCAGATGGGTGGCATGAATTTTCTAAATGTATCATATTTTGAGTCAGGGATGAGGATTCGTTTCTGGGAGGACATCTGGTGTGGTGACCGAACTGTTGCTCTCACTTTTCCCAGACTGTTTAGGATTGCCATGAATAGACATGCCTTGGTGGTTGACTGCTATCAACTTGATGGGGGGAGAACGTCTTGGATGTGCGTTTTTTTTTAGGCATTTTTAGGTTTGGGAGATTGAGGATGCCATTGATTTTTTTGGAGCTTTTGTGCCAGGAGATCGTGGGTGGTGTCTCTAATTCCTGGGCGTGGATTCTCGCTTCCCACGATTGCTTTGATGTTCGGTCATTCTATAGGTGTCTTATGAATGCCCCAGGGGATCCGTTCCTGTAGAAAACTATTTGGCATTCTAAGTCCCCCCTCAAGGTGGCTTTCTTTGCATGGACATTTGTGTTCAGGAAGATCTTGACCCAAGATAACCTAAGGAGGAGGAGACAGATTGTGGTCAATTGCTGTTGCATGTGTAAGAGAGATGAGAAAACGGTTGATCACCTTCTTTTGCATTGCTCTGTAGCTCGAGATTGTTGGGTTTTGTTGTTGTGTTTGTTTGGGGTTCAGGGGGTTATGCCTAGGTGATTGAGGCTTGGAGAGGTTGTATAGTGGGGGCCCAAACCCGTGATTTCTGGAGGGTTGCACCGTTGTTTGTGTGGTGGTGTTTATGGCTTGAAAGAAGTTTGAGATCCTTTGGAGGCAAGGAGACTCCTATCGGTGCGCTGAAGTTCTCCATTATTAGCACTCTTTTTTGTTGGGCTCTAGGGAGAAATTGTAATTGCATATAGTTGATTTTTTGGACTCTATGAGAGTGTAGAGGCCCTATTTGGCCTTATGTAGCATTCGAGGGATGCATCCCCCTTTTGAACGCCTTTTTATATCTATCTTACTTATTAAAAAAAAGAAGAAGAAGTAAATTTCCGAAAATATCACTCAAAAATAAATTATTAAATATAACTTGAACAATATAAATGTCATGATTGTCGTTAGTATTAACTATTGCAATAATTGTAAAATGAACGTATAACATGATATGAGATCCTTTTTCTTCTTTTCCTCATTTCATTGAAATGAACAAAATTGAGGGTATGAATGATGCAGGTAAGATATGTAAATTCTGAAAAAAATTAGTCATTTAGTTGATTATGCTGTGGATTATATATTGAAATTTTTTTATAATAAAATAAAAAGTGAACATATAAGAGTAGCTCTAACATCATCAGTATCATTTTTGCTAACTCATTACTTTCAACAGCATTAGGTTCATGAGCTATGAGAAATTCTGCCTTGGCAAATATAATTAAAATGGAGTGAAAAAGCATAACCAGAAATATTGAATTGTGCCTTGAGCAACTAGAACGTACAGTCGTGCTTATATGTTACTTCTTTTTTCTCCCTTCCCCTCTTGTTTCTCCAAGATACTCGAGATTCCCAAATCCTAGGGAACAGTATGGGACTTCATTTGGTTTGGTAAGATTATGTTGGCTAATATTTCTCCTTATTTGAAGTTTTATGGTTTGTTAAAGAGTTCAACTTTAGTGATGTATATTCCTTGATACATGTTGCTCAACTAACTTGACTAGATTTGCTTTGCTTGGGTCGGTGATGGTTAGTGAGTATACTTTTGGCTGATTCATGGTGTGGGGTGGTCCTTTTTGAATGAGTAGTTTCCTGATCTCTTTGCCATTCTCAAATTTTTTATTTATTTATAATAAGGCGAGGTGCTTGCCTTGATACTTGGTGTTCAAAATAGGCACTCAACATGACTAGAGATTTGTGTTACCTAGGTTTGTGATGGAAGTTGATGGTGAGTGACTCATATTTTGGCATCATTTATGGTGTGTTGGGGCCCTTTTTAACGAGTAGTTTACTAACCTCTTTGCCATTGCATATTTGAATTTAACAAGGGGGCCAGGGTGGCAGAGAATTTTAGATTATTCAGAGGTCAGATAGTGCGGGAGCCATTTTTTGTTAGAGGGCTTTACATGATGAGGAGTTGGAATTTATTGTTTGGTTCACAGAGTTGCTTTATGATTAAAAGAGTTGGCATGGGTTGGGAGGAGGTGATGAGATGGAAGATTGTTAGTAGTAGAGTCTCAGTTTTCTTCGACTATCCGTTTATTTGTTTGATAAGTCATTTGGTGAGTCAAAATGCTTTCAAAGGTTGGGGAGGTTAGTGAGATTGCTTATTTGGCTAGCATCCTGGTGTGCGGTGTTGGGTCCATCCCATTGACATTCTGGGCAAGGCCTTTGGGGATGCCATCGAGGCGTGTATCCTCTGGGATCCAGTTGTGGAGCGGATTAAGAGGAGTATTGTAGGATTGTGACAGTTGTCTTATCAAGAGTACACTCTCGAGCCTCCTTGCAGACTTTCTTTCCTTATTTCAGATTCCTACTTCCATGGTGATGTGGATTGAGAATTTGCAGAGATATTTCCTTTGGTGTGGTATGGATGATGAGTTTAACCATCATTTTTTGAAGTGGGAGAAAGTTTGTAAGCCCCCTACAGTCTGGAGTTCTGGGGGTTAGGAGGCTTGACTTGGTCAACAAAGATCTGTTATGCAAATGGCTTTGTTGGTTTGGGGTGGAGTTTATGCTATCGAAAAGGGATATTTGGAGAAAGTTTAGGGAGAATTGGGTGCATGGAGCTCTAGGGATGTGAGCGTTCCACCTGGTGTGGGGGTCTGAAAATTCATTCGGAAGGGGTGAAATGAATTTTTAAAGCATATTCGGTTATATATTACTTGGGAGGTGCAATTCATGATTACTTTAGACACAGGTCTCGGTGCAGACTGTTCCACTATGATTCATAGAGATATTACAACAATAGAGTAACACCACCATATACATGCCTTTTTACCATGTACCATTCCACGAGCCTAATTCCTCGCTATCAGTGTCACCGATGTTTTTCCTACTTTATCAACCCATAAACTACCGTTACCCATCAACTCCCTCATGAGACTACATCTCTCTCAATCTGATAAGTCTCAACCCACAATATATGTACCCATTTATAGAGTTACAAACACAATTCCTTGTTGGTCAAGGATTACAATTCCTTAGAGGCCATGACTTGCCAAACAAGAAATTACCTAATAGAATACAACTCTAAAATAGAATCCTAATTAAAATAGGAATTTGAGACACAATTTCCAACAATCTCTACCTTGGCTCAAATTCCATCCAGCCAATCGTTGCTTCCACGGCATTGATTAGACCGTTCTTTTGCAGCTTCAATCTCGACGATCCTCCTACAAAACTTCGATTGTCCACACTTTACGCTAATCGATTAGTCAAATCTCTGAGGCTCCACCTTGACTACTCGAGCTCCATGCCATGTAACCAAGCCGATGGACTCCACCTACAACTGAAGCCTGTTGCAGCACATATTGAGACTTTTTGTGTTTTCTGGATCTCTTTCACCTTTGGCTCTGATACCAATTTGTTGGGTAGCGGAAGCGTGCGAAACACAAATATCCAATAAAAGCCAACAAAGCAATCGCACACAAATACAAGATATACAGGGTTCAGCCAAAATCGGCTTATGCCCATGGATGAGAAGAGATTCCACTATGATTTGTAGAGATATTACAACAATAGAGTAGCAACACCATATATATGCCTTTTTACCATGTACCACTCCAAGAGCCTAATCCCTCACTATCAGTGTCACCGGTGTTTTTCCTACTTAATCAACCCATAAACTACCTCTACCCATCAACTTCCTCGTGAGACTACATCTATCTCAATCTCATAAGTCTCAACCCACAACATATGTACCTATTTATAGAGTTACAAACATAATTTCTTGTTGGACAAGGATTACAATTCCTTAGAGGCCAAGACTTGCCAAACAAGAAATTACCTAACAGAATACAACTCTAAAATAGAATCCTAATTAGGATAGGAATTTGAGACACAATTTCCAACAGTAATACCATTAGGGGGTGGTCGGGAAGGGGCAGATGAGTGGCTCTAGGCGGAGTCCAAGCATGGCGTGTTTTAGGTGCATTCCACTTATTAGAGGTGATGGACGTCTGGGGATCATTCTTTCCTTGGAGGGCAGTTTGGTGCACCAAAGCCCCTCTCAAGGTCACTTTTTACAGATGGACGGTTGTATTAGAGAGGATCTTGACAATTGACAAATTGAGGAAGAGGAAGAGTTCAAATATTGGTGAACTGGTGTTGTATTTGTAAGAAGGATGAGGAGACGGTAGGTCATCTGCTTCTACATTGTTCGGTGGCTAGAGATCTGTGGGACATGTGTCTTACTCTCTTTGGTGTTAGTTGGGTCTTGCCGGCATGCTGACTCAATTGAGATTTAAAATAGTGTAATTAACAGTGTTGGCTGATGAAATATCTATAAAAAATGAAATCATTTGCAGTAATGAGATGTTTACGTATTCTTTGACTTCCTACATGTCGTTTGAGTAATTTCTGAAATGATTGGCTCGTCTTTACAAGGTGTTGATCAAACACAAAAGAGTGGCAATAAAGTTAATTTAGCTGATTCCTTTTTCTAGGGGAAACTGTTTTTTTCTAAATGAAAAAAAAAAAAAACCATTTATTTTTGCAGAGATATGAACAATATACTGCTAATTGGTTCTCAATTTTATTTTGTTCTGGTTTTAGTTTAATTTTAATTATTGGGGTTATTGGGAGATTTTTTTTTTCTTTCCCAAGCAGATTGTATCAAAAGATCTTTCTGATCCAGTTCGTTCCCATAAAGATCTTGACAAGGATGCAGCACCATTTGTCAGAAAAGCAGTCCAATTCTACGATGAACTTGCAAAGCAGCTGGTCAGCCAGGGTCATGTTTTGGACCTTTTTGCTTCTGCACTTGATCAGGTGTGTATTGGTCTGCCTCCAAATGTGGTTATGTATTCTACAAATTATGGCATATAAGTTTGTGCATAGTTTGACTTATCAAAAAACATAAGTTTGTGCATGGTTTGAATTGCTTCTTGATTCTCAATTTGTATGTTTATCACGGTATACTGATACCCATGTCCGGGGGGTGGTTGTGGCTTTGCTTAGGGGATAACTTCTTATCATCAGTCTGTCGCTTGGTTCTGCAACTTGGCAGTCCAACAGTGGCCCATCAACATTTCTGGCTGCTGTGTGAGAACCAGGACACTCAACCTGGGTGGACAAGAACTGTGATTCAGAACCCAAAGACAGGACCAACAATATAGGCTTAGTGGTCAAATGTGTTCTAATGGCTTTAAATACAAAGTTTTGTTTTGTTTTGTTTTTTTTTGTTTGTTTGTTTGTTTTGTTTGTTTGTTTGTCTGTTTGTTTTTTTATTTTTTTATTTTTTATTTTTAAAAGATGATGAATGAAACATTAAAAAACATTACATTTAAAATATACAAGTTCCATTACGCATTTTTTGGAAGCTTTTACATAAATAAATTATGTTAACTGAAAACTCTAGAAGACTGTTATTTGAAAACAGGCCTTTTTATAACTGAGTTTTCAGAAAACTGAACCAAACAGAGTTTTTTGTACAGTTTTATGTTTTCAATTTTCTGAGAACAGAAAACTGTTTGCATAGTTACAAACCAAGCAGGCCCTTTATGTCCGTCAGTATTTTGATGTGCTATGGTTATTATTCTATTTTACCCCTAAAGTTATCATGAAAAGTAATCAAAGGACTTTTTGGTTGGTTAAATCTACTTAGTGGAAGTTCTGAAAACAAGTCTATTGCATTTGCGAGGCTTGATCAGGATTGTGGGTTCTTGGGGTATTAATAAATTGTTGTAGCACCAAAGATTATAATTCTAAACTTCAAAGAAGTCAATAATCGTTTCTTAAGTGACACCATCTTGTTTCTTGGCAGCTTACAGAGGTTGCATGAATCATATTGTCATTATCCTCTATCTAAAGCCATAAATAACATTGGTTACATGGTGTTTTATCAGTATTTTTGATTAGTATTCAACCATGTTTTGCTTATCAAAAAAAAAAAAGAAAAAAAAAAAGAGTAAACAACCATGTTTATTTTTGTTTTATTCTGATCTTATACTTAATGCTGATCACATCACTTCTCTTTACTGGTTCAATTATTGGTCCTCACTTAGCATGGGAAACTATTTTAATTAATGTTATCTCATTTTGGCTCCAACGGGTGCTACCGCAACTGTGTGATGAATGCTTTTTTTAATAATCTTTTCTTCACTTACCACACATCCATCTCTACATCTGTGTATTTTAAAGACACTCATTTTGATAAATATGTTGTTTCTTGTTGATCAATTTATGGTCCCATAAAGTACGAGCAGTCTAGTAACTGTTTTGAAGTTTATGGATATACATTGATTACACAATATGGCAGAAGTATTCATTTAAGAGTAGATTGCGAAAACATCCTGTATTATTCAGCTTTTATGTAAAAAAAAACTGCCCATCTATGAAACTCCTGCATCCGTCAGTTTGTCATCATTGACGATTTAAAATTACAGATATTATTTTAAAAATACTACAAGCTAATATTTTCGTGAAATAGCAAAACAACTCTTAGTTAAATGGTGTATTTTCATTTGTTCTTCATTTTTATTCTTGATGCAACAATAATTTGTAAATGTTTACGTGTGTGTATATTTTTACACAAAAATTTAAATATGTATACAATTTCTTCTCTATATAATTCAAAGAACAATATATCTTCATCATCTCTAGTAGCATGTTGAATTTTCATCTATGGCCTACTCCATATACATATTATATAGTAAGCTTAATACAAAAAGGCTGTGCATATGCACATGTATTTGTTTGTATAGATTATAATCCAATGAGCCATTGTTTGGGATAGACATGGAAAAATAAAAGAGAACGGGAGAGAAAGAAGAGAGTAAGCATGGTCATAAACTGTGTTCACCATTAGTGGAAACAAAGTATGTTTTTCTCTGGTCATTCTCACATTTAGAAGTGATCTCGAATTGAAAAGGTGGTTGTTGGTACTTAACCCCAAAAAAAGGTTGCTGTTGGGTTCGAATCCCAAAATATACAGCACCGAGATTGAATTTGATAGAAAATTGGGGTAAAACCGTAAAAACGCAATCAAGTTTAGTGAAATAGCAGGAAGGGAAGGCCCTGCAAGCCAGTTCATCGAATCACCAAATACGTAATGGCCATTATAGAGAGACCATAGAGTGAACAAAGGGACTGGAAGAGACATAAGCCTGTTAGTTCCTGTCAACTTGTTTGTGGTTGGTTCAAAGTGATATTGACTTGAGACAAATGGATCAAGTGTAAAATGGTCATTCAAAAAGGGTATTAGTCATAAAACTGAATTTCAAAGTCACTTTTGGTCATTGTTAAAGTATTAGCCGACTGTTTGACAGCAGGGGCAATACACACAATTTTAGTGGATGGGGTGTTTTTTTTTGGCTTGAAAATTAGTTTATGTTGTTATCTGCAAAAGTTGAACAGTGCAAAGGTTCTTTTGTAATATACACTTCATTTAGTTTATCAAGCTTTGATTTTTGTGAGCGACATGATCTTCTTAATTGAGCAAAGGTGAAGATTTATTTATTTATTGATAAGCAAGCAAAGGTAAAGAAATTGTTGCTGTTTGATATCTCTTCACCTTCAATCTTCACTATACCTTTTTTGAAAAGGATTTTTCTTCTTCTTCTTTTTTATTTTTTTCATTTTTATTTTTTTTCCCGAAAAGGTTGACCTTCACCATATACCCACTTCTTTTTGTTGTTTTATTGAAGTTATATTCCATATATTCCTTTTTATGTTACTTATTCTAAACATTTTTTATTCTAGAGTCTCTCTCCAGACATCTAATTTAGTACTCAGTTATGATTTTCTGTTTCATCATTAAAAACATTATCATTACAAATAGTATACGCCATGGAACAAAATCATTAGGGAGCTGTTAATTACTTAATTTTACAATATTTTGATTAAAAAACTATGGGAGAGTATAACCCTAGTAGAGAGGACTAATGCAGCTATGCTCTAACTTTATAAGGTTTTAAGTTGAAGCACAGTTGATTTTGCTCCTTGTGATTCTATTGCTCTATACTTTCCTTAATAATTGGATCAGATAGGATCAGAAATGTTGGAAGAACAAAACAAAATGTTCCATATGGGACAAGTCTGTTCTTGACTTATCAAAAAAAGTAAAAAGAAAAAAAAAAGGGATAAGTGTGTTCTTGGTTTCTGTGGTTAATCTGATGGTATTCTGTGTGGGTAAATTGTGGCATACTTCTTCGATTTCCAATATAGGACTCAGGAAATGTTTTTGTAGTGATTTTGGAACATTATGATACTAATCGATGATGCTCCTTACTTCATTGTGAAGTTGCATTATCATGATTTGACTCTAATCATGTTTAAGATTCTTAGGTTGGGGTTGCAGAGATGAAGGTTGCTATTGAAAGAACTGGTGGCCTAGTTGTTCTAGCTGAAAGTTTCGGTCATTCTGTTTTCAAAGATTCTTTCAAGCGTGTTTTTGAAGATGGGGAGCAGTCTCTTGGCCTCTCCTTCAAGTGAGTTCTTCATTATGTAACAGTTGAAAACGTGTTTGGCATTGTATTATCTAATCACACTTTAAAATGGCATTATTTTAAATTTATTGCAAAAACTTAAATTACTTAAATAGTAAGATTACTTCTTATGACCAGACCACCTTATTCGACTTTCTTTCATATTTGTCCTTATTGTCTCCAACTTGAATCATATCACTTACGATTACACTTATTTCTTACTTTATATTTCTATTTGAGTGCTCTTGGTTGTCCATTATCACGGTCCCCTCACTTTCTAGTTTTACTGAATTGGTATTTCATTTATTCTTATTAGCTTTGCATATATGTCGAGGATATCTTTATCTTTCCACAAATATACACTCTTAGGCATCCACGTATACATAGCAAGATACTAACAGGTGTCAGCCATGATTTAATATGTTTATGCTAGCTGCATGGTCTAAATATTATGTGCTTAATTGGAAGTAAATAAATAAGGAAATTCTACTCTCGTGTCATACAATGGTGAGAAGCGAAATATTGTTTGTCTTACAGTATATGTTTGACAACTTGATCTTATTTTCTAGAAATGTGTCTACGTTTTTTTTTTTTTGACAATCCAGCAAGTGGACGTCACAACATTATAGAATTAGCATGCATTTCATGAATGCATTGGAGCAATGTAGTAGGTGTTTTACTAGATCTTTGCTATCTGGTTATGAAGTAATTTATAGAAATTGTGTTATAACCAAGTTGATGTCACTTGCAGCTAGGGCTGCAAATGAGACGAGTTGAGCCGAGCTTCAGTTTGCTTGGCATCGGTTTGTTCATTTGTGGTTCTCCTTGGGCTAGGCTTGGGATCCTAACAAGCTTGAAAAGCTTAGCTTGTAATTGTCTCGGCTCGTCATTATTTTGAAAGCTCAGATTCAGCTTGGCTTGTTTAGTGTTCGGGCTTGGTTTGAGTGTCTGTTCAAGATTGCTTTGGCTTGTTGATTCACGAACTTATACGAGCCTAGACAAGCCTATGTTCATTAACCTAGACAATCCTATGTTTATGAATGTGTTCATGAGCATAGGCTCATGAACACCATGCCTACTCGACCTGAGCCTAACAATATTTGAGATTGGCTCATTTACTAAATGAGATCAGAAATTGATTTTGAGCTGGGCTCGTTTACTTAATGAACGAGCTAGAGCCGAGCATTAAACGAGCTCATCCTGAGTTGTTCATGAACGGTTCGGTCATTTGCAGCCCTACTTGCAGCATTAGAAGTATTGTGTATTTCATGATCTCGTGGTAGCCACATTATTATGTGGCTTTCTGTGTCTGCTATTTGGTTTTGACTTCATTTGCCAAGAAGTTGTTCTAAATCAATCAGCAGTTACACTATGAGTTGTGTGTAAAGATTGCCACTGATGTCCCTTGATATGTTTTCTTAAGTTCTAGACTTCTTGTATTTCTAAATGTATTCTGTGCATTATGCTTCTGCACACATGCATATGCCAGGTAGCTTTCCTTCTCTGTTACTCTTGGCTTTCAACTGCCATTCATCCCAATGATGGATTATGTTGTCTTAAAATAATTTTGTCTTTGCTTATACTGATTTATTTCTTTCAGTGGTGCACTCGAGATCAACTGTTCAAAGGATATCAAAATTCAAGGAATCATTGGACCTTGCACGTCTTTGGAGAAGGTTGGTTCATTTAACAGATAGCAACCTAATATTCTTTAGCATGTTCACATTGTATCTGGAATTAGAATGCCATCCTTTTCTTGGCACGTATAATGGAATCTGAATCAAAAAGGTTTGTTGTAAGGTCGATACTGATTACTACAAGCCTTGCAGAAAGGACCTAGTGTAGCCAATACAATCATCGGGCAAGGGAATACTACAGCTTGGAAGATGTGTGGTCTCGATAAAAGTACTTGCTTGACCATTTTCTTTGATATTTCATCTAGTGAAAAATCCGATCCTTCAGGAAATTCAAATCCACAGTTGTACATACAGATTCTTACAAGGTATGCAGGAGAATTAGACCTATCTGCTTCTGTAATTGTCATTGCTTGTTTGTTTGATTTTTTGGTTTCCTTTTGTGTTGCAACTGTCAGCCTCTGAAGTTCTCTGTAATTTGTGTTTGTGTTTTCCAGTTCCCTTTTCATAACTGTAGTATGTATGGTTTGTAGTCTCCATTTTTCATATTGAAACATTAACTCTTTTATTTTTATTTATTTATTGTTTTGTCTTTCTAAAAAATGTTTTGGATGTAATTGAATTTTGATGATCATAATTTAAATGCAGTTTCCAGGTTCCTGAAGGTCAAACAAGGCTGCGAGTTACAACCATCACTAGAAGATGGATAGATAGTGCTGTTGGTTCGGAGGTGTGAAACTAAAAAGTCCAATTATTTTGCTTAATTTTTATCAGTAAATAATAATTTTGCCTTATTGTTGTACTTGTACAAATTTTATAGAAACTTTATTAAAATGTCACAGAAAGCCATCTTATATATCATGAATTTATGAAGATTAGGTTTTTGGAATGCAAATTTTTCTGAAGGTGCTTCTTGTTTATCATGCTAGATTATACATGCTTAATGAATCATATATTTTCTGTTGACTGCTGTTTTGTTTGAACAATAGTTCTGAATAAATGAAAGAACATAACTAACTTGAATTGATCTTTAGACTTGATGGGGGTTTCATAAACCTATAGAAATAGTTGAATATAATCAACTATCGGGCTTGGGTTCCTTCAGTTACGTTAAACTTCATTTCTTTATACTATCTTTTTTTTTTTTTCTTGTCTTTCTTGTCTTTCTTTCCTGTTTCAAAGGTTTATGGGTTCAATTCCACAAGTTCTGCAATTGTCACCTACCGATCCTGGGTCTATAACGTGATTATGTAGAATTGAATTCAACTTGTCATGTTTATAACTTTATATTCTCATTTATTTGGATACTCTTAGGAACCTCTGAAGTTTCTATTGCGTGATTTTTTTCTCTTGTTATATTTCATTTTGTGCAATATACACATTATGTTTCTTTTTTACAGGCACTTTAGTGTTGTACGTTTTGTTTTCGAAAATTTCAGGAATCACATCATTTGAAACTTGAAAAGTTAATGCTAACACGGAATATTATTGCTTTTGTAGGAATTAGTACAAGGATTTGATCAGGAAACTGCTGCTGTAGTAATGGCAAGATTAACGTCTTATAAAATGGAAATGGAGGTATTTCACTGACATTGGAAAATTGTCTTTGGCATACAGACAGTCGTGGATTAATGTATACTTAATTCAACTCTTGTTGCATTATTAGTTTTTCTTCACGTTTATTGTCAATTGTTTCGTTAATGGGATTATTTTCAAATCACCAGGAAGAACAATGGAGGGCGTAATTATATTGCTAAACTCCATCGCTCCTCTACTGAAGATATTATTCTGAAAACTTAAAATTTTACCTGATAATCAGATTCTGTTTCCTGATGATTGGAAAGTAGTTTACACTGATGTAACCATTGGAATGCTTATCTTTTTTCTGCTTTCCCAAGTACAAATTGAGTTTTTTTGATTCTCTTCTATGTGAACTCTATGATTACTCATGTAGACATTTTCATTGTACAATTAAGTTAGCTCAATTTTAATAGACTGTTTAACTGTCAGGAAGGGTTTGATGCGACACGGTGGTTGGATCGGAGTCTTATTCGTCTCTGTTCCAAATTTGGTGACTACCGGAAGGATGATCCGGCATCTTTTACGCTGAACCCCTGTTTTTCATTGTTCCCTCAGTTTATGTTTAATTTACGTCGGTCGCAATTTGTGCAGGTAATTAAAGTTTGTATGCCCTTTTATCTAATTCTCTTTTGTTTCAAACGTTTGTGGTGTAATATATGTGTTTAATTCTTATTTTATATTCATGTTTTTGTTTTTGTTTTTGTTTTGTTTTTTTTTTTTTTTTTGGTAGGTGTTTAACAATAGTCCAGATGAAACAGCCTATTTCCGCATGCTATTAAACCGAGAGAATATAGCCAACTCTGCCGTCATGATACAGCCATCACTAATATCATATTCGTTCAATTCGCTGCCTGCACCAGCTTTGCTGGATGTGGCTTCTATAGCAGCTGATCGTATTCTCTTGCTGGATTCTTATTTCAGTGTAGTTGTTTTCCATGGAATGACAATCGCTCAGTGGCGAAACATGGGTTACCAAAGTCAACCCGAACACCAGGTACGTGCATGTTATTTCTGTTCTGCTCTTGCTCTATGATATTTGGTGGACTCATGAAAGGATAGGGTCCTTTAACACCAAATGATCTAATTGCCGTAGGAATTGAACATCTTGATCTCCTACAGATGCACACCAATTTGGTCTCTTCTGGAACCTATTCTTGCCATAGAGGGAGTCATTTACCAGTCTGAATAAGCAATAATAAAATGATGATTAGATTAACGAGGACTTCCTTTTGCTTTGAATTCATTCATCCCTTTGTCATATTCACAAGAATCTTATCTTTATACATTGACCCTAACAAATGGTTCAATTCTGCGTGGAATTAGTAGTTCCAAATTTTGATCATCCATCGAGTCCACCTCTTAATTATGCTACATAGAATGAGTTGTTCCAAATCAAGTTTCACTCTTTGAGTCCACATCTTAATTATGCCACCTCTTAGTTATGCTACATAGAATTAGTTGTTCCAAATTAAGATTCACTCTTTGAGTCCACATCTTAATTATGCCGTAGAATGCCATTGCATGAATTTATGACCCGATGGACAACATCTGGTTTGGAAAACTACTATTATCCATGATCTTTTGAATAGATGGAACCTTTTTTAGGGAAATATTGCAGACCACCAACCTAATCACACATCTCTAACAACTCTCTAACAACATAAGCTTTTAGTTTAGACAGTGGTTGACATAGTATTAGAGTAGAAAGTACTTAGTTCAAGCTTCACCGCCACCCTAATAATTAAAATTGAAACACGTGTTGAACCAAAGAAGGCCACACGTGTTGGAGATTAAAATTATTAAAGTTACACCCTCTCTAATAGTTTGAGCTTTTAGAGTAGATGGTTAACAATAACTTTTTAATTTGTACTCCCTTGTTTAGCGCTGTTGCCGTTTACTAGTTCTTACTGCTCTATCTCACCTTGAAACCTTTCGGGATGGCTCATTATTTGAATGGAACTTTGATTATTATTTATAACATGTCATATGAAGTATTAGTTCTTGACTCTTCCACTGTTATCAGGAATATCATAATGATATTTCGAAGCAAAGATATTGGCCTGTTGTAATCGAGTGTAGGGTGTTGACATGTGCCATGATTAGCATTACTGCTAAATTAGGCATAAAAAAGCCGAATGTTGGATTCTGACAATGCCTTTGCCTTAGTTTTCTCTGGGCAATTGATATTGCCTATAGCCCCTTAGGTGGCATCTGGTCACTTTCTGGATGCTTGAGAGCAAATTTCATATTGTCATTATTTTTAACAAGTCTAATCAAACCATCACCTTTTTTTTTTTTTCCATTATTTATCTATTCTCGCCTGCTCCTTAGCATCTGGTCACTTTCTGGATGTTTGAGAACAAATTTCATATTGTCATTAGTTTTAACAAGTCTAATCAAACCATCATCTTCTTTTTTTCTTTTTTTTCATTTATTTCATTATTTTGCAGAGGAGTAGATTCTCATTTTCCTCTAGAAATATATATACTCCTGTGACTGTCTGGGAACTTTTTATTATTACTTGGTAATGCTGTATGTTGCTGTTGTAGTGGTTTTTGCGGTGCCTTTATATTATAATATATTAAATGCAGAATTTGTTGCAAAATCTGTTTTGCTATTTGTTTGGAGTTCTTTTTTCTAATGAAATTTTTTCCATTTGAGCCTTCATTGAATGTCTTCTTGGGAATTAAGCAAGCTTGTTTCCAGCAATACAATATATGTAATGTGTATGTGCATCAAGTTTTTTCGTCTAATAAATTACTTTTTTTCCCCTTCGTATAGGCATTTGCACAGTTGTTGCAAGCTCCTCATGATGATGCCCAACTGATCATACGAGATCGGTTCCCTGTCCCGAGATTGGTGGTATGCGATCAGCATGGCTCCCAGGTCATAATTTTTGTCCTACCCTGTGTTTGATTAAGATATATATATATATCATAATTTTTGTCCTACCCTGTGTTTGATTAAGATATATATATATATATATGTATATGTATATGCAATATACATGTGCACTAGTACATGCGTGCTTGCATTTGTGTTATACATAACACCAACCCATTTAAAATCTTGGATACTTGTTATGTCTCTTGAATTTATGGTGATACAAAACATCAGTGGCTTTGAGTCATGAAAAAGCTAACTTGGTCATAAAGTGTTGTTCTCAGAGTCAGTTTTTAAAGGCAAAAGTTTCAGGCTAGAAATTTACTTCCAATGAGTATAGTGGTAACCCTTCTAGTTCTTTTGTATACATTTATAAAGATAAAATATTAAATAAAAATGTTTCTTATCAAAAAAAAAAAAAAAATATTAAATAAAAATGAATAGACTACAAATATCTACCAGAAATAATTTATTAAGAAATAAATGAAGTGTATAAACATTTTCTTTTGTTATTTTAAGAGCTTACAAGAATTGTTAACGAAGACAAAATGTTAACCCTTTGATCTTTGATTGATTTATATAAATGGTGTGTAAGGGTCCTTTCATGGAACAACAATAAAGGATAATAAATGAGATATCACACACAATGTGTGTGAGGGACTCAAAAGGGTGATTTGGAAGAAGGAGAAGAAGCAGACAGATAAAAGGATGAATGGTGAAGGTAGGAATGTTAGTGCACCATGACTGAGAGTAAATGAGCTTCAGTTATGGTGATTCTTGGTTGTTGATGCTCTGGCCCTTTAATGCTCATTTGTATCTTGTATTTATGGTTTGAGGTTTGTTGGTTTATACCCATAGGGTCGAGCCCTTACCAGGTATAGCACAAAACCTAAGCCTGAGGTTATCGAGTTAGTTGTTTCTATGAGGCTATTAAGTCAATTCGTCATCTGTTCCTGCCAGGTTTAGCAGCGGCGTATTAAATGGTTTTAGCAGGTCATATTAACCAGTGGCAGTTGAACATTAAATGACCAGGACACCCCATTAAATGTGTTCGGCGCAATAGTAAGTCTTTATGTCATGGCGCATGATCACCGTCCCCTTGGTTTGGCTCATTATGTGATTGCTTTGGGCAGATTCTAACTTCTCATCCGCCATTACAAGATCCTTCCAAGTGTCCCATGAAGTGGCTGAGGATATGTGACGGGACCTATCTATGCCCTTCTTTGTATTTGTCTGTCAGGTACGGCAGTTGTTCGGTTTTCAGAGGAGAATTATTTCCTTGATGTTTGGGGTGACCTGTCATGATGTCAGGTTTATTGACTCGGGAGTTGCCTTCTTGAGGCTTGGGGAGACCTGTGGTGCTGTCCCAGGGTTTTGGACTAGAGAGTTGTTTCTTGAGGTTTGAAATGACTTGGGGTGATGTCCTAGGGTTTCGACTCGAGAATCAATTCTTGAGGTTTGGGGTGACTTGAGGTGATAACTTGGGGTTCTGGACTCGAGAGTTGCCTCTCAAGGTTTGGAATGATCTAGGGTAATGGCCCAGGTTTTGGATTCAAGAGTCACCTCTCAAGCTCTGGAATGACTTGAGGTGATGCCCCAGGGTTTTTGGTCAAGAGTCATCTCTTGAGGTTTGGAGTGAACTAAGGTGGTGACTTAGGGTTGGTTTTGGACTTGTGAGTCATCTCTCGAGGTTTGAGGATTTTTGAGAGCGCTGGGCACAGAGGCAATGTGCTTTGGACTTTCTGACTCGTTAGTTTGGCCATGTGGGCAATGCATGGTTGGCACCCACACTGTGCATTCAAATGGAACAGTGGATATGATTTACAAAGTGTATAAAAGTAAATGTGGTTGAAATATTATTTATCATGATAACATAATCAACTTGTCGATTGCCTAAGGGATTAGAGGTAAGCCTTAAAATGTCAATTGCATGAGGTCTAGACCTGCTGGACTTTGGTGTAAAGAAGCACAAAAGGCACACCTTTAATTAGTCGTATGTCTAATAGATCCTTGCTTAATTTTGTTTAAGCCTTTGTGTGTCTTTGTTCTTGTGGGTTGTGTGTGCGTGTGGTGGTTGTTTGGGGGGGGGGGGGGGGCGGGGGGGGGGGGGGGGGGGGGGTTGTTTGTAAAATGCAAAAAACTATTGAAATTTTGCAAGCACCCCTCATGAAACAGAAAACCTTCCTGAACTTTTAAAAGTTAGCAAATCAGGCCATACTTATTTGACACCGTTAGTGGTGATGTTAAATTACTAAATAAACCCAAAATACACATCGTCAGATGTCATTCTATTATTTTTTCTTGACAATCTCCTTCAAATAGAATAACATGTGCCCAAAGCCATTAACATAAATAACTCTTATCATGTCTTCATTTCACTTCTTTCTTCTTCATTTCCCTTGTATGTATATCTACACAGATCAACACATGGCTCTTAGCTCTTATGCTTGGTGCCTGAATAGGTAGATAGATGGATAGATATATTTTATTTTTGTGTGTGTGTGAGAGAGAGAAGTGAAGGTAAAATTCTTTTAATGTGGAAGATGAGGCCACAACTACATATGATTCATGTGACAGGAAAAAAGCTAAAGGAAAGATCGTGGGTGTCTCAACGGATTCAATTTTATTGCAGTGGCATAAATTGCATGATTCTTTTATAAATTGTGGATCATGAAGGAAAAGTAAAGAAATTTAGGAGGTTTAGATATGTCTATAAATACGTATGTAACAGTCTATAATTATCATAATTTTGTTTCAAGATGAACCTAAGCTCTATTTCCATCAGATTGATACCATTGTTGACTTTGCGTTAAGTTTGATTGCATGATGTCCATTCTAATCACTTATGGCTGTTGACTGAATTATTCTCTCTATAAAATCTGCATCAAGTCGTTACAGTTCCTTGTTTTTTTGTTTTTGTTTTTTCCTATCTAATTTCTCTATAAATTTTTCTTTAATTCTTATTTTCTACTACCTCTAAAACCCGTTGGCTGTGAATCTTCATTGTGTTGAAAACTGTCACAACACTGATGATCGATGGGGTCATCATTTTTTATTTTAAATTTAATTTTTGTCTTCTTTGTAGGTTGATAGCTTACTTGGTTACTTATACTGATTTGGACCATCATTTTGATTTACAGTCCAAACACCAAGCTTGAGCGACTTCGCTTCTGCCATTTTATTCTTAGCAATTGCCCGATTTTTTATTTTTATTTTTATTTTTAGCTCTTTGACATCTGCACTTGATTCTGGAGTTGGTCAGTTCTTTCTTTGTTCTTTGATCTAAGATTTATAGAAACGTCAGTCTCATGTTTTCCTCTCCCTCATTAGTGCTATCCATGATGAATTCACCTAAAGCGGTGGCCTGAGACAAGTTTGTAAGAAATTGTTGCTCAATGTAGGTAGGTATTTTTTCCATTGCAGTGACCTGATTTGATCCTGTATCATATAAAAAAACCATTAAAAGTTAGGTTTTGATTTTTATCTGTCTTGGTTGCAGTTCTAAGATCAGCAGGAAACCAGAATAAAACAATAAATCCCTACCAACCATTGGTTATCCATTGGATAGCTAACAAGATCAATACTTCTAATTCTATTATTTTTGTTGAAAGATATAAAAGTTAAAGAGAGAAATTAAAACATGAAGAACACAAAAATATAACGTGGTTCAGCCTCTAGGGCTTACATCCACAACACACAAAGCCCAAAGGGCTACATCACTTTCATTACATTCTCTCTTGGTTTTGTTTATAATAACCACCTCTATTTATAGGTGAATTAGGGAAGACTAGAAAATAGAAATTTCTTGCTTTACAAGTATTTAATAATAAAGGAATTACACAGAAAATCAAATACAAATATGGCAACAACTTGTTGCTCAAGTATATCAGTGTTAACATTCTGTCAAGGAGTGATTTAAGGGCTTAAATCACTTCTATAATTATTCTCCAACTCCCCCTCAAGTTGGTACACGTGGATTTAACTTTAGTGTCCAACTTGAATATGAATATGAAGTTGTCGAGAGTATGAGATGAGTAAATTTGAGATGAGTTGATCCGAAGATCTGAGACAAGTTGATCCGAAGATCCGATCCAAGACGAGTTAAGCCGGAGATCCAAGACGAGTTGATCCGAAGATTTGAGATGAGTAAAGTATAGAGTAGGGTATAGTAGAAATATAAAAAGAAGAGAAAAGAGAGAATTGCGTAAAGGCTTGAATGAGATGAATTACCTATTCACAGCTCTAGTATTTATAGATAAAATGAGCACATGCTCATATTACAAGAAAGGAAACAAAATCAAATCATTGCATATTCTATGCCTAGACATATGCGTAAATAAAGTCAAATACATGATTAGTGGCTATCATATCTCACAGATAATATGGTAAATCACATCCCATGATTTGGGCCTATCATATCTCGGCTATTATGGTAAGTTATACCATAAATCGTGGTATCATAAATGCTAACACTCCCTCTCAAGTTGGTGCGTGGATATCTGAAACGCCCAACTTGGACAATGCATTCTCAAACACAATCTTGCTGACGCTCTTTGTAAGAATGTCTACAAGCTGCTGAGAGCTTGTGACAAATGGAGTGCAAATTTGACCAGAGATGATCTTCTCTCGAATGAAGTGACGGTCCACCTCTATATGCTTAGTCCTGTCATGCTGAATGGGATTTGCTGCTATGCTAATGGCAGACTTGTTGTCACAGTAGAGTGAGAATGGAAGCAACACTGGAAGGCACAAGTCTGTCATCAAGGTTTTCAGCCAAAGCAACTCACCTACCCCAAGAGGAATAGCCCTATACTCTGCCTCTGCACTAGATCGAGATACAACATCCTGCTTCTTACTGCGCCAAGTAACCAAGTTACCACCAATAATGGTACAATAACCTGAAGTATACCTCCTATCTGAAATTGATCCTGCACAATTAGCATCTGTCCAAGCCTCAACACGTAAGTGACCATGATTAGCAAACAAAATACCACAGCCTGGAC